TACTCAGGCTAGGCGAGAGGGCAGGAGGGGGGTGCAGAGGCCAACTGGCCATGCCAGGGGAAGAAGCTGGGCCTCACCCTAGGGACTATGGTGGCATCTGGAAGGAGGTGACAACCAGATTTACGCTTTAGAAGTGCCGCAGGGGCTTTTGGGAGGAGGGGCACTGCAGAGGAACACGTGGGCATCACCAGGTGGGAGAAGGCTGGGCAGTGGCCAGGGTGTGGACCTGGGGCCCACCACCTGGGTTTAGACCCCTCTCCTTTCTCCCTACTTCCCAACTAGAGGCCGTGGGGGCACGTCTACCGCTCCATCCTAATGCCAAGCTGGGTGCTGGGTGCTGGGGTGGAGACAGCTCCTGCCCACACAGAGCTTAAATCCAGGGGGTGCAGGAAGCACTTTGAGCTCAGTCACTTCCCTGTTACATGGAGGAATAATGGAACCCACCCCCTGGTGAGCACACGCGGTATGCCTTAGTGTGTTCAAGGTGCCTGGCCTACAGGCAGCTGCTAATGTCATGTTCTTTCCAGGCAAGAAGGCACAGAGAGGGCAAGTGTGTGTTATAGCTGAATCGTGGCCTCCAAAATCCATAAATTGCAGTCCTAACCCCCATGATCTCAGAATGTGACTCTATTTGGAGACGGGCCTTAGAAGAAGTATAAGAGCTAGGCACAGTGGTGCATGCCTGAAACCCCAGTTACTCAGGAGGCTGAGGCAGGAGGATCACAGGTTTGAGGTTTGAGGCCAATCTGGGCAACTTAGTGAAACTCAATCTCAAAATAAAAAATATAGAAGGCCTGGGGTGTAACTCAGTGGTAGAGTGACCCTGGGTTCAGTCCATAGTCCTGGGGGTAAAAAAGCCCCCTGGTCTCCGGTGTTTGTTACAGTGTCCCTGGCAGACAAATACAGTGTGCCAGTTGGTGGCAGCAGGATCAGAGTCACTGTGTACCCACTCAGAGTAGGCATCCACGAGAAAGGTCAGATCCTGGTAGGAGGGGGTTGAAAGGGGGAAGATGGCCAGACAGGACCAGCATGACAGCTGGGGCAGAGGCCAGCGGACAGCCTGGGAGCCCTGGCCTGCCCAGCACCAGTCACAGAGCAGTCACACCCAGGCCCGCACTGCAGCCCTCCACTCTGCAAGGGGGCACCTTGAGCATCCCCTTGTCACTGAAAAAGAGATGTAGGCTTTGGGGAGGGTGGGGACTGCCCAGTGAGAATCAAAGCCAGAGCCCAAAGAGACTTTTCAGAGTCCTGTCAGGTGTGGTGGCCCCTGAGGGTCACCCAGGAGGGCAGGTCCTGCAGGATGCATGGCCAGAGCMGGGGTCTGGGGCTTGGAGGGGAGTGGAGGCTGCTGGAGCGACACGGTTCCTAGAGTCGCGGAGCAGGGGCAGATGGGAGAGCGCCAGAGGGCCTCACGTGAGTTTTCTTTTCCTGTCGTTTTACAGTGACGGAATCTCAAAGCCCCCAACGTGGGACGGAGGGCCAACACTGAAAGCAAGCGCTGGCTGCCCTAAAGCGGTCCCACAGCTTCTCTGACTTCTGAAGAAAGGCTGAAACCCGCGGGTCAGGCTCCCTGGGCCTGGAGACAGTTCAGGGCCGAGAATTCCCACGGGGGAACTGGGAGGAGCCTGCGAAGGGCTGGGCTTTGCTTGACCTTTCACGTTACCGAGTTCCTGCTGCTTGGCCTCTCAACAGGCACTTACTTCCTCTGTGCCCAGGTTCAGAATGAACGTCAGTGCTTTGGAGCTTGCTTAATCGAAAAGAGAAAATTTAAAAAAAAAATTTTTTTTTTTCAAAAAACTTTTTTGGAACGTCTACACGGAGCCTGGGGCTGCAGCACAGGATGTTGTGGCTGGGGTGGGAGCCTCCTTTCTTTTTTGGCTGCTGGGGGTGGAACCTGGGGCCTGGTGAATGCCTCTGAGCCAGGCACAGCCAGGGGTGCTGTTGTTCCCCTAGATTCCCCTCCGCCACTGCAGCCTGCCCCCCACCCCCGGCGAGGGCTGCAGGGAGCATTTCTCCCGGGCGGCTCCCTCTTCGGAACCCAGCAGACAAGTCAGCAAGTTTTTACGTGCAGATTGTTTATAAGTCCAAGACTTGCTTTTTCCCCAGAACCTTCGTGGGCCTTCGAAAATTGTTATTTTAACATTTCCCCCAAGCGTTCTCTCCATATTTGGGCAAAGCAAAAGCCAAGACGAGTTTCTGTTTGTTTTTCTCATAAGAAAAATGCAGCATTTTGGAGAAGACAACCGGTTCCCGAGACCAGTACCTCTCATGAGTGACTCCCGGCTTCAAGATCGACTTGGATGACCTCTGACTCAGGTTCACAAACAGCAGTTAGACCAGAAATGCAGTCCATAAAAATTCTTGGAGGTAACCCCACCCTCTGCTCAGGAGGGCCTTATCTCCGGGGTATTTTCCGTGTGCCCAAGATAAGCATCCGGCTGGCCACTGCCCAGGCCTTGACTGAGATCACACCCTGACCCTGTTTTACAGAGGGGAAACTGAGGCCCAGAGAGGGTGGAGCACAGAATGTGCTGCAAACATCAAAGCCAGAGCCCCCAGCAGGCAAGCGCTCCACCACAGAGCTTCCCCAGTGTCCCCCCCCCTCCCCCCCCCTCGGCATTTTAACTTTAGAAAAATTCCAAACCTAGAAGCCACTGCAAGCCCAGCACGTGCACACCCACGGCCATTGACCAAGGGCTGACATGGCACTACGTTTGCTTCATCCTTCTGCTCCACCTCCCTCTCACCTYGTCCTTGTCCACGTTGTTCCACGTGACCACCGTGCTCCATGCTCCGGGAGCTCACCACCTCCTCACCGTTACTCTCTGAAGCCTCCATGTTGGAATCCCTCTCCCTGCTCCGCTCTCTGTACCTGTGCACCGCAGGTTGCCGTTTTCACCTGAGAGTTCATCGAGGGCCTCTCCACACATGGCTGCCCGCCTCCGTAGCCGCCAACCTGCAGCGCTCTCAGCCTCTTTTTGCTTCTGTCCTGCAGGACACAGACAGTTTCCAAGCATCCCCGCTGGCCGGCTTACAGAAAGTCCCCTGCCTTGGATCTCTCTGCTTCCTGTCAACTAGAGCCAGGTTGAACATGGAGGGCAGGGAACAACATAGGTGACACTGAGTCCTCCTCAGTGTGTGACACCAGGACACACAATCAGGTGAAGCCTGTCCTGTTCCTGGTGATGTCAGGTTTGGCCATTTGGTTAAGTTGGTGCTTTCAGATCTCTTCATGTCTTCCTCCCTAAAACTCTCTCACCCTATGGCATCCAGGGAGAGGATTCTTGCACATATTTATTGGTCATTACTAAGTAGTTATAAAATGGTGACTTTTTTTCTTCTATATTTATTAGTTTGTGATCTTTAAAGAAATTTTCTCTCTCTCTCTCCTTCTTTCTTAGTGTGTGGGATCAATCCCAGGGGTGCTTTACCACTGAGTTACACCCCCAGCCCTTTTAATTTTATTTTTAGACAGGGTTTCACTAAGCTGCCCAGACTGGCCTCTAGCTTGTGATCCTCCTATCTCAGCCTCCCAAGCAGCTTAACATGTTTTTTAAAGTATCAGTATTGAGCCATGGATTTGTATTTTAGCCAGTGGACTAGTGCATTCCTTTCATGATTTATTTTGTGCTTGACATGTTCCAGGTCTGGCCTTCAGGAGACCCTTCAAGCAGCTTTGTGCTAGCTCCTTTGATATGTGCCCATTTATCATTTTTTTTAGTACTTTACTTTCTGGTATAATAAAATGTGTCAGGTTCCTCTCTCCTTGCCACCTTCCAGCCCTGGTGTCAGTCACCTCTCCAAGTGGCCTTGGTGCCTCTTACTGGGGAACGATATTCAGAATCTAAATGTTTCGAGTGTGTTCTTTGCAACTGGGGCATTCCCACCTCTGAGCCCTTTTAGTGATCAGAGGTAGAACGTTTTGCTATTTCATAATATTACTACTAACTAAAAATAAAAAACAAAACCACCAGAGTTCTCCTTCCTCCCTTTCAAATCTCCCTCACCCTGCAGTGCCACCGGATCTGGGTATCCCACGGCTTCACGGTTGCCTGCCCTTTCCCCTCCACTCACTAGTGGGGTTCTGGGTTCTATTTCCAGGATCTGTCCTTGGAGTTTCCTCCACCCAGGAAGTGAGTCAGATGATCTGTTCCAAGGTCTCCAGGACAGTCTTTGTCTGCAAGTGGCTATGCCATTCATGTCATACACAGATCATTAGTTTCTTTGGTTTTGCATTTTAGTTTTTCCTGCCTTTGTTAACTTACTCTTATGTCTTAAAGGTAAAATTGATTTAATTGATTTCCTCTCTCGGCACATATTTCCTGATGTTGAAAGGAACCATCTAGTCCAGGGGAGGATCCCATCCCTATTTTCAAAATCTCCCACCAGCAAGCAGGTGTTAAGACCCTGTTCCATTCCTTCTGAAGCAGCCCGAGGCTGGGTGGAAGTGCCCTGGGCTCCACCAGCCTGGGCGTTTCCAGGGAGATCACTTACGTTCTGGTAAGTCCCTGCCCCTCCTCGACTTCCTGGGCCTGCCTGGGTCTGGCATCTATAAACCCAGAGGGTCGCACTGCCAGTCTCCATTTAACTCACAGATCCGACACTTGGTTTTGCCATGCTGACATGATAAAACCACAGTTTACCAGTGTCTGGCACATTGTAGCAGCTCCATAGTTGCAGGAATGGGCATCCGCATTTTATAGTACAGTAACAGAGGCCCCAAGAATGTGGAGCTGCCCCTGGTCTCATTAAGCAAGCGCAAAAGCGCCGCCTTGGCCCAGCACGCAGTAGGCGCTTTAGTGAGCGCACAGGGAAGGACCGCCAGCGGATCTGCGCGATGGCTCGCCAAGCGGGCGGGGGAGATGGGGCGGAGCCGTATGCAAATAGCCCGTGAGAAGACCTCGGATTGGCTGGTGCAGGCGGGGGTGGGGCCCGCCAAGGGCCGGGGCTGCCAGGTGCGCTGGGCTGGAGAAGCCGGGTGCCCGCGCTGGGCGGCTGGACAGAGCTCCCCTGGCGGTCCCGGGCGATGCCTCCGCTCTGGGTCCTGCTGGCCCTCGGCTGCGTGCCGTTTGGCTCCAGTAAGCCRGGGATAAAAGGATAAGGGCTGTGCCAAGGGAGGGCGAGCGCTACCTGGACCTTGATCCTCCCAGGGTCACCAGAGAGGAGCCTGGATGGGAAGTGGCAATGGGAACTCCATTTATTCATTCCAGGAAAAGGCGCAGAGTTCTGGCTTTGGGGACCCAGATATTATTATTATTAGTAGTAGTAGTCATCTTGTCAACTTTTAGAGCTTTCTCTGGTGGCAATCCCAGGGCTCACAGGTGGCTACAGTCTGCGACGGGTGTTGCTGGAGACCAACAGACAGGGTGCTGCAGGGGAGCAGAGAAGGGACAAGACCAGACTCATGGTGACTTCTTTACTGGGGGAGATGGAGGGACGTTTTTCACCAAGGGTGTAGCATGCGCAAGTTCTGGGATGAGGAGGCAGCCTGGTTCTTTGGAAGCTGTAGTCCATCCCTGCCGCTAGRGAGCAGGGTAAGGAGGGAGTGAGGGTGAGGCAGGAGACCCAAAGCCCTGAACTTCTGGACCTAGCTCCAGGGTGCCAGGCGGGCATGGGAGGGCACTCCTGGGAGGGCACTCCTGGGTGAGCAACAGGATCACATCTGCTGTCAGAGTGGAGGGGGCCTTACCTTGCTGTCAGAAGAGGGTGGGATGGAGTGAGGACCGGCCATGGCTTAGAGGCAACCGAGATCCTAGTGACTGAACATCAGCAGAGGGAGCTCAGACTGCTGGGTTTCTGGCCAGGAAGCTGCAGGGTGGGTACAGGGACACTGCTGTGTCTGACAAAAGGTCATGAGATGGCCCACAGGGAGGGTGAGGCCCAGTGCCTGGCTCCCAGCAGGTGCTCTGTAGCACCCATGTGCACATGGGTGTGGGCAGTTCCGTGGGAGTCAGCTCCGACCCTCCTTGCCTCTCCAGCTGTGAACCTCCAGCCTCAACTGGCCAGTGTGACCTTGGCCACTAACAACCCCACACTCACCACGGTGGCCTTGGAAAAGCCTCTCTGCATTTTTGACAGCTCAGAGCTGCTTGCTGGCACCTATGAGGTCTATCTGTATGTCATGGTCGACTCAGGTAAGGGTCCTGCTTCCCTCCGGCTGCTCCTAAAGGGGTTTTGATCTGTCAGCAGGGAAGAGTGAGAATGACAATCTCTTAGGTTTCTAGCAACCAATCTTCACAACTCATTCAGAGTCACAGTTTCATTCTTTCAACAAATATTTACTAACTGCGTATCTGTGCCCAATCTCTGGGCACTGTGGGTATTTTCTGCCATCCCATAGAAGAGAAGATTGGGTTCAGAGAGGTTGAGCGAGTTGTCCAAGATCACCCAGCTAGTGAAGAGACCTGGGACCCAACAAAGGTCTATCTGACTCTACATCATTCCTTTGAACAATATGACCCTCATTTCCCATTTACAGAATAGGGAACCCAGGACTTTTAGGGACAAGTATCAAAGGTGTATTGTGGTGGAGGATTATGGGAATATTCTAAGATAAAGTAGGTGAGAGTGGAACACGGTACCCAAAGGAAAGTGCTACTTGTCCATCTCCCCAGGCAGGGACTGAGCTCGCCCATGCCTGTGACCACTGTGCCCAGCACAGGGCTGGGGCAGAGAGGAGGCTCAGGTGTTTGATGAATGAGTGACCGAGTGAGTGGCTGGCTGCGGTGGCCAGGATCCTCACTCCCGGCCCTGCCTCTGCAGCCAATCCCAGGAATGCCTCCGTGCAGGACAGCAGCAAGACCCCACTGAGCTTGACCGCCCAGCAAACCCAGGGTGGGAGGACAGGCCCCTAYAAGGCAGTGGCCTTTGACCTCACCCCCTGCAGTGACCTGCCCAGCCTGGATGCCATTGGGGATGTCACCCAGGCCTCAGAGATCCTGAGGGCATATCTGGTCAGGGTGGGCAGCAACGGGACCTGCCTGTGGGACCCCAACTTCCAGGGCCTCTGCAACCCGCCCCTGTCTGCAGCCACGGAGTACAGGTGGGTGTGAGCAGCCGCTGGGGGAGGGCAGCAGCTGAGTCCCACCCCAACTCAGGAAGACCCCAGGGGGAGGGGACCAAGTGGGAGGAGCCACGTTTCTAGATGTCTTATGTGCTGGGACCATTGGGGTCTCAGGCTGGGCCTGGGGTAGGATAGGGCTGGAGCTCAGAAGGGCCCTGCTGGGTTTAATGCTTGGTGACATAGAAAGCAAGAATCCGGAAATCTTAATTCTTGAATGAGAGGCCTGTTCACTTTGCTTTGGATCCCACCAGTTATGGGGCTTCCTGGCCTTCCCATATGTGGAAGTCTCTCACCCACGGCCTTTGTTTCATAGGGAGGGAACTGTGGTCCAGAGAAGGAAGGCCCCCTGCTTTTCCTACCTCCTTCCTGCAATCCCTTTTCTGCCCACCCACCCCCTGGGCACCCACTCACTCCACCCTCACTGCCTGAGCATCTCTCTGCAAGCTGTCCCCAGCCTCRGGAGCCTGGGAGGAGGTCTAACCTGGTGCCAAAGCCCGGGCTGATCCCAGTCCAGGTAYGAGGGGGACACCTGGGTCAGGGGCTGTGGCTTCCAGGCCTGTTTGGGCCCAGACCACTGCCCACCTGCCATCCTTGCAGAAGCACCCCCCACACCTGTGGCTGAGGCCACTGAGCAGGACAAGGGTCTCTGCTGCCCTCTCCCCACCCCAACCTTGACCTTGTCTTTCACGTCCCCTTCCTGACCTCCAAGATGGCCCCTCAGCCTTCATCTACAAGCCCACCCTATTTAGGGCATGGGTGGGTGCCCAGCCCTACCTCTGAGTTCTGACCTTGAAACAGGTATGAGGAATTTAGCAAACCGCAGGACAGAGAGATTTTAAAGGTTTTTTTGTTTTGTTTTGTTTTTAAGTGTTAAAAAAAAAAAAAACAAAAAAACCTCCAGGCTGCAGATGTCTCAGTTTCGGGACCATCTCTGTTTAAACTCTTCCCTTCCGCAGGCTCTGGCTGTTCCCTGTCTCACCAATCTCCTTTTCAGATTAGCAACACTTGTTTGGGGGGTTCTTTTCTTTCTTTTTGGTACTAGGAGTTGAACCCAGGGTGCTGAGCTACATCCCCAGCCCTTTTTATTTTTATTTATTTATTTTCTTAAATATTTATTTTTTAGGTGTAGATGGACACAACATTATTTATTTTTTATGTGGTGCTGAGGATTGAACCCGGCCCTGTCCGTGCTAGGCGAGCGCTCYGCCGCTGAGCCACAATCCCAGCCCATTTATTTTTATGTTGAGTCAGGGTCTCCCTAAGTTACTGAGCCTGACCTTGAACTTGTGACCCTCCTGCCTTATCCTCCCACGTTGTCCCTGGGATGACAGGCGTGCCCCACCACTCCCCACTTTTTTTAGCATTTATGTCTTAAAATGTAGCCCTGACCCCAGGACAGCTGGGCTGGTGATGGACTTTATCCCACTTGTTTTTCTAAGTCCCTCTGTGATTCCAGGGACAGGCTTGGAATATGGCCTGTGGTTAACGGGGCTGAGCCACAGGTGCTATGTAAAATAACCAGAGGGGCTCCTGAGGGACAGCCCAGCGATGGCCCAGCCCTGAAGCCTTCACAGAGGAGGTGCATCTGAGCTGGGGAAGGCCCAGGGACAGTATGTGACCACGTCCAACCTCCTCTGTGGTCCAGAGCCCTCTCAATGGCTGTCTCCCTCTGTGCCCCCTCTGTGCCCCTCCTGCCCGCTATGGCTGGACACACAGGATGGTTGGATGTCATCCTGTCTCCTTCCAGGTTCAAGTACGTCCTCGTCAATGTGTCCACAGGCTTAGTACAGGATCAGACCCTGTGGTCAGACCCCATCCGCACCAACCAGCGTAAGTAGTGTGGTGGGGGCTCGGTCTCCAGCCAGCTTCCTCTGGGAATCTGCAGACCAGGCCCAGCTCTCGGGGCAGGACCATTCAGACCTGGCTTGAGCCCAGAGTGTCCTTGGACTGGGTCTCCCTGAGTCAATGAGTGACCTGCAGAATGGAGTTCTCTAGGGATCCATAGGGGACAGTGCCCCCAATGGCCGGCTCATGATAGGGCCTGTACCTTGTTCCCAAAGGGTGACGCCAGTCAGAGAAGAGCGAGACCCCCAGCTCTGAGCAGCCCCTCTGCTCAGCCTTGTTTACGTCCATCTCACTGCAGATGAGTCAGTTTAAAAATTTAAATTATGCAAAAAGAGGAAGAGGCCAGAAACACATGTGAGAAAGGCGGGAAGTGGGCCCCGGGGCACACCAGGCCTCTGGCCGAGAGCCCAAGAGGAGTCGCTCCCTGGGCCCCTGGGACATCCTGGGTTCCAGGCCTGCCCATCCCGGGGAAGGGACGGAGGGTGCTGGCTGTCAGGGGTGTAACTGGCCGTGGTCCTGCGACAGCCACCCCCTGCTCGGCCATCGACACGTGGCCAGGCCGGCGGAGCGGGGGCATGATCGTCATCACGTCCATCCTGGGCTCCCTGCCCTTCTTCCTGCTCGTGGGCTTCGCTGGCGCCATCGCCCTCAGCTTTGTGTGAGTACCTGCCGCGGGGAGGCCTGGACCCGGGGATGGCGGCAGGGTCCTCTGCAGCTGGCCGGGGTGCTGCCCTCCACGGCGGGTGGGTCTGGTGAAAAGCAGCGGAGCCCTGGGCCTTCAAGGCCAGTCCTTCAGCCTGGGAGCGAGGGGCTGGGCAGCGGGCCCTGGGCCTGTAGTCCCACAGATCTTAGCTGTGACAGTGGTGCAGCCTCAGGCAAGACGTGCTGTCCTGCGGTCCTCAGTGTCCTCCTGGGGCAAATGGAGGTGATAACTGTTCAGCCCATGGAGTCTGGAGGTCCTGTGGAATCGCCCCACCCTGCTGAACTCAACCGGCCTTAGCTCTTGTTGCCATTGTAACTCACCCGCTTGCAGTCCAGACGGGGAAACTGAGGCAGAAGGCAGGGAAAGGGTGTCCCAAGGTCACAGGACCTGGGACGAGGACCCAGAGCTGGGGCTAGAACCCAGGCCTCCTGACTCCGCCGACACCTCTGGATCAGGACGGGAGGTCTTCTTGGGGGTGGGGTCCTGGCGCAGCTACCAGGGCTGCCCCAAGGGAGGACAGTCCACTAACACCTGGGAGGATCGATCGGGGCATGAATCAAGGCACCCGCAAGTGCCCTGGGAGGAGGAGGGCAGGGAAGGTCCTGCCTGGAGCTTCAGGTGAGCTTCTAGGAGGAGGGATCTGCAGGAGCAGTGAGCATCGAGCAGGGGGCAGGGAGGAATGCAGGGAGGAAGGCAGCGACGGGCAGCAGGCCCCACACTCCTTGCTTCTCAGGGTAGAGGGAGCCTGGGGGCTTTGAAGCTGAGGGGTCTTGGGGTGAGACTGGGTAGGAAGGCTCCTTGGAGTAGGTTCACACAGAAGCCAGCAGGTGGGGAAAAGTGGGCAGACCATGGACTGGGAGAGACACTGGACCCAGGCTGTGCTCCACACTTAAGTTAACAACCAGCAGTGGGTGACCTCAGCCTCCGAGGGTCACCCACAAGCCATCAAAGCCTGGTGGTGTCCCTGCTTCCTCCCTCTGGGCAGTGCCGGACACTGGCCTTCCAGACCCATCCTCTGAGGTTAGCCCGGCTCTTCCACTAACCCTCCTACTGGCCCTGCCGGTCACGGCCCCAGTCCAGTCGGCTCAACTCCCCACAGGAGCCCCRGGTTCTGCGGCCCTCCCCATCTCAAGCATCTCCTGCAGGAGCAGACGAGCTGGCCCTCCTCCAGGATGGGCCCACTCTCTGTAGTCACTGTCTGTTGAGGTCTGTCTCCCCAGACTGTCCTGGTGATGTGGGGACATGAGACCATGGCCCCCGCGTCAGCCCGCAGTAAGATGTGACACTGCTTACTCATGTAGCTCCCGACACACGCTGAGAACCCCAGGAAGGAGGGACTCACTGAGGCTGTGGTGGCTTCTGGGGGCAACATCTGGGTGCCAAGGTCGCCTGGCTGGAGGAGCTCCACTTTGCTCTGTCTCCTAATCCTGGCTCTCTCCTTGGCCAGGGACCTGGGCGATTCTGATGGGGAAACCACGCACGACTCCCAGATCACACAGGAAGCTGTGCCCAAGTCCCTGGGGACCTCAGAGCCGTCCTACACGTCTGTGAACCGGGGGCCGCCCTTGGACAGGGCTGAGGTGTACTCCAGCAAGCTCCAGGACTGAGACCCCTGACTGGCAGCCTCCCCACACTGTCCTRGTCCTGGAGCCCGTGGTGGTCAGTGTTCACGCCCCGACTGGACAGAAGGTGAAGCAGGAAGGGTCAGTCCAGTTGTGGGAACACTCAATAAAATCTTCCCAAATTGGTCAAATTACAGTGTCCTGTTGTGTGCATGTATGAACACGTAACAACAAACCCCACAGTTAAATGCACTATAATGCACCAAAAAATGTGGAAAGAGACCCTGCCCCTCCCCCCCATCTTCCTAAGATATTGAGGTCAGTACAGAACGAGGGGTGAATAGGTGAGAAAATGCACAAGTCACGACCTGTGGAGGGGCTGGGCTGTTTCTCTCCCGGGCTCTGTGATCAGAACTACAGAGACCACCGGGCCGAGTCAGAACCCCGCTCTGAGCCTCAGTCTCCTCATCTGTCACATGGGCTGCTGGGAAGATTCATTCCTAGACTGGGCAGGACCAGCTTCAGAAGACTCGGTTTTCTCTCTTGAGCCAGACAGCAAGACGGCCTCCCTTTTGGAGGTGTGCGGAGCACAACCCACACCCCTCTTGGCATCCGGATACGACAGAGGGAGACGTGGCTTCTAAGATCGGTGGGGACTCCCCAGGGGGATGCTCACCTAGGAGCACAGGGCAGAAGCCATGGAGGCAGCAGCTTAAAGCAGAGAGCAGCCAGCAGAAGGGAAAGCAGTGGCCAGTCCAGGCTATAGGAGTGGCCAGTACAGAGGGAGCCGGGTCCCTGGGCAGCAGGAACAGGAGGGCCCCCAGGCTGGACAGGCTCGTCGGCCACCTGCATCCCTTGAGACCATGAAGCTGGCCTTGKCAGCCACTGGACTCCTGTGGCCTCCTGAGCCTGAATCCCCTTCTTCAGCAGAGACCTCCCAGGGTCCCCAGCTGAGCAGAGACGGAGCCCAAGCTGCCCGGAGTCCGCTGTTGTTAAAAGTTCCTGCAAGTTTGCCACGTGGCTGTGTTTGCTTTGTTTTGTATTTGAGTTGAAGTTCACATGATATAAACTTAGCCTTTTTTATTTTTATCTTTAAATAGTGCTGGGGATTCTCCTGTGTGCTAGGCAAGTGCTCTACCCCTGAGCTGTACTCCAGCCCAAGCCCACCGCTCCAAGTGCACAGGTCAGAGCTATAAAGGCGCAGAGAGAGGAAGACGTTAGAGGTTGCTGTTGGACTGAGGAGCAGAAGGCCTCAGGCATCCTTCAGGTCATCGAAGTAGGCTCTGCAGATGTCCACTGCACCCCGAGAGATGCCCAGGAGGAAGCCACAGGAGCAGAAGCCCAGGAAGAGGACTTAGGATCCCTCTGTTTCGGGTTTTGGATGAGTGGCTTTATAAAAACCCCAGGAAGTGAAAGTACTCTATACTGATCCAAGAAATTTTAGATGACGGTCAGTGGGTGGGGAGAAGGATTTTCATTGTGCAAGTGTCCTCAGGGAGTGGAGACAGGGCAATCACATGTCCAGCAATGAAGGTCTGGAGTGAAGAGAAGCCAAAGGTTTCGTGATCACTGACCAAGATTTTTGTGATCACAAAAAAAAAAAAAAAAAGAAGAAAGAAAATGAAGGATGGATTCCTATAAAGAACCTTTTTAAGAACTGTGGGAAGCCATTCTCGCACGTGATTGGGCACCTCCCTGATGGGGTGTGAGGCCTCCTGGCTAAACTGTGTTGGAACTAATYCCCACCCTTTCCAGGTGCGAGAGCCTGTCCGTGTGGTGGTGTGACTGACCATTGACCCTGAGACCAATCACTGACCCTGACCTTGGAATGCTGCCCCCCTCGACCTTCATTGGATGGAATTCTCCCCTGAATTTCTTGTTCCCCAATAAAAGGCCACTCCCTGGCGTGCTCTCTCTCTCTCTCTCCTGCTAGCCCTGAGTAAGCCTCGCTGCCCCACTGGGTGGCTTGAGGCAGGAGCCAGARGGAGGGCCGTCTCAGACCTGGTCAAAGAAAAAGGTAATTGAGTTTTGTGTGTTTATTTTGATCTCACTAGTTAACTTCTATGCTTCGAACCTCTTGTATGAAGCCAGTGTGCTGGTCGCGCGGTGGAAAGAACCTTTTTTTTTTTTTTCCAAAATCCTCCTTTTGAGAAGGTCAGTGATTTGATTTGTATGGTACCGTGACAAATGGAAACTCATACAACAGGAATTTTTAACTTAAAGTGTGACTTTAAGTCAAAATTTATTTAAGCATAGCCCTGTTCTGCGTCCCTTATATATTCAAACTTTAAGAAGTCTTCCAGTCTTGAGGGCAGACATGTTCCCTCCTTTGCTAATTCCCTGCTTTGGCAGCAGGTATTCTGGATTCTTCTGGTGGAACAAGAGCTCCCCTCTTGGTCCTAGAAGGGATCATTGGTATAGGTAGCAGCAGTAGGGACCGAATCCAGTTTGAAAGAAAGACTAATTCAAAAAAACAACATTGCTACACCCCGAATCATGATTTTCTTCTAAATAGGTTAAGGCATCTTTTCTGTACGAGGTGATGTCTGGTTGCTATGAGACATTATCCTGTATTCAGCTGGTGTTCTAGAACAGACTAGAAGGCTTCTATATTGTCTCACTCTCAATTTTTGTGAAGCAGGGATGATGACACTTTTCCCTTTTCTCATAAGAAAACTCTGACTTGTCCCCATGTCTCCCTTCCCTGGCCGCAGCCACCGATTCCGCTCTGTCCGTGGGTTTTCCGGATCTGGATGCTTCAGACGCACAGTCTTGCTGGCCCTCCAGTGTCCCTTCTCTGACTAAGCTAGTGTTTTCGAGGTTTGTCTCCGAGCTCCTGTTCATCAGCACTTCCTTCCCTTTGCTGGTGGAGTGACATCCTGTCATGCAGCTGGACCACAGTTCACTGTTCCCTTGTCCCTTAGTGGTCTCTGGGCTGCTCCCACCTCCTGGCCCCTCCTGTGCACAGTGCTGCGTGGACACTTATCTGAACCCCGTTTCTGGGCCTCCTGGATATACCCGGGCGTGGACTGCTGGGCCAGTGGCAAGTCTATGTCAGATTTTTGAGGATCCATCAACTGTGTCCACGGCAGCTGCTCTGGACCCACCAGCCACGCAGCTGCCGTTAGCCCACTAGTAAAACAACGTTGAACTCGGGCTGGAGCCTGCCTTGGCTCTGGGTACCCTGTGGCTTTCTCTCCACTTCCCCAGTGACCAGGGCTCCCTCCCTCAGCAGCAGCCACCCACCATTCCAGTCGTGGGTCAGTGGCCTTCCTCTTCCTGCTGACCTCCCTAATCAAGGTCCTGGGAATGCGAACTTCCAGCTACTGAGAGAGCTTCCAAACAGCTCAGGACACCCAGGCTAATGGGACCAAATCACCAGAGCACAGATGAGCGCATGTACCTGGGAGCTGGGCGTTGGTGACAAGTACACGGCCACTCCTTCCCTTGGCTCAGTGGGCCTCTGTCCCCGTGATGAGTCTCCCCAGAGAGCCCCCCACTTCCAGCCCCCTAGGACTTGCTGGTGCAATGAGGGGGGGGGCAGCATTCCTGGATTTGGACAGGTCTGACCTCCCTGTCAGCCAACAGGCCTCGGGTGACCTGCTCACCCCACAGCCTCCGTGACCTCCTCCTGAAGCAGGGGCCACAGATGGAGCCCATGAGCGGTGTCGTCTCCAGAATGCAGCGTTATGTCACTGTTTCTCCCTCGTGGTGGCCCTTCTGGATCTGACCTGTCACAGTCCAGAGCAGGCTCTAGACTGAGCTCCCAGATGGCGGGTAAGGTCAGGTCCATTTCTAGGGCCCCCCACCCCACCCAGCACCCAGCGAGGACAGGAGGGAGTAGGCTGGTATCAGTCATTCCTGTGGCTGTTTGCTGCACACCAGCTCTGAGCTCAGGGCCCCAGGGAGGCAATGGAGCACCTGCCTCAGGAGCAACACCTCGCCAAGGTGGACATATTCAGGACCAAGACGGGGGCCGCTGGTGGCCCAGGGGAGTGCTGAGGGAGAAGAGGGGGAGGCGGGAGGGGCCTGGAGGGCTGTGGGAAGGCTGGCTTTTATTCTGGGCACCGTGGGAAGCCACGGAGCAGTTTCATGCAGAAAATGACCTGTGCAAGGACCTCTGGCTKCTAGGTGAAGGGGGCAGGGAGACCCCCAAGGCGACAGCAGAGCCCTGTAACAACCCAGGCCAGAGGTGGGCAGAGGCTCTGACGGGAGCAGGGGCAGACAGGAGCCGGTGGGATGTAATTCTGAGGGGGAAACAGAAGAACTTGCTGATGGATCAGCCACGGGGAGGAGGGAAAGGGCAAGTGGTGATGATTCTAGGTTCAAGGCCAGGGCCACCGCATACATGGTGGGGACCTCAGCCAAAATGGAGGCCAGCAGGTCGGGTGGGAGCATATCAAGAATTTGTGGGAGGGGTTGGGATTGTGGCTTAGTGGTAGAGCACACGCCTTGCACGTGTGAGCCATGGGTTCAATCATCAGCACCTCATAAAAATAAAGGTATTGTGTCCATCTACAACATCAACAACAACTATATATATATATTTAATTTGTGGGAAACTGGGCGTGGTGGTGCATCCCTATAACCCCAGCAAATCTGGAGGCCGAGGCAGGAGGATTGCAAGTTCAAGGCCAGCCTCAGCAATTAAGCAAGAACCTGTCTCAGAATAAAAATAAGAAGGGCTGGGGATGTGGCTCAGGGGTAAGACGCCCCTGGGTACAACAACAAGAAAGAAGAGAGTGGGGGAAGTTCAATAAGCTGCTCATGATGTGTCAGGTAGAGCAGCGCAGTAGGTGATGAGGTGCCCGAAGTTATCAGAGGGCAGCGGAGTGTGCCATTGTCCCTGATACTGGGCCCTCCCCTGGAAAGGATTACAGTCACTTGTCCCTTGGTATCCACCAGGATTGGTTCCAGGACTCCCGTGATACAGAATGCACAGGTTCTTAAGTCCCTTATGTGAAATGGTATAGTATTTGCCTGTGACCTGCACAAATTCTCTCAAACACATAATTTCATTAGTAGTATGTGTGTGTGTGTGTGGTTTGAACCTTGGGCTTCATAGATGCTGGGCAAGTGCTTAACCATTGCGCTACACCCCCAGCCCTTTTTATATTT